CTTTAAGAGCGGCATACTCTAGGCTGCCGTCGAACGGGTTGGCCTGTCGTCTGGAGGTCAGAGAAGTGGACACGAGAGGCACAACTGACAATTAAAAAGAAAGCTGCGTTGAAGAGATGGATTGGAAGCAGAGATTTCAATTCGCATGCGGTATAAAAAAGCACGCAAGGTGGCAGCGAAAGCTGATTCTTAGAAGAGGTTCAGTAAAGTATTGGAGCCAAATTTCCAGACGGCAATCGCAAGGTATTCTGGCAGACCATCCGCCGCCTCCGAGATTGAAACGAGGGTATAAATTGTCCGAGTCCTAAAGGACAAGTCGGAAGACCTTGTTACCAAGGAAGAGGACATACCTCAGCAATGAAGGAAATACTTTCAGAAACTCCTTGACTCCGTGCAACTGTAAAAGCACTTGTCTGAAGAAGATCAGGCAAGGAATAACGGTCTTTTATTAGAAAATTTCTTAAGAAGTCACTGAAGTTACAGAAGGTTCAATAAGCTCAAAAAATTGCAAGGCTGCTAATCAATGAAATCTTGAAAATTAGGCATATCGTTGCTAACAGGTGTCTGTGAAACTGCGACTGCTGCAGGGAAGAGTGAAGAGTGGTCGTTGTAGTACCCTTGTTCATGACGGTAGATCATAGATAGTGTCCCAGTTTCGAGGCATTATCTTACTGAGCCTTCGGAGTAAAATATATGCTAAGGTATTAGGAAGGAGATGCCGCGGAATAACTAACTTTAAAACACAAGAAGAGTAGCCTCACTTCAGATCAGGCTGAAACACGTGATCAGATCTTCGCCTTACGCCAAGCTACAGTTTACGCTTGTACTGTAGACCTGAAGCAAACCTATGACGGGATTCTACACGACAAAGCTAAGGACGTGCCTGCCTCCTTGACCTGAAAGCAGAGATCGAAGTTGACTGACAGACTGTGTATAGCACGAAACGAAACAAACATAAAAATAGTAAACAAATTAATCTACCAGTCGCAAGTATTGGCCAAGACACAAACAGCTTCAATGATCGGTTCCGGACTCAACATTTCAGTAGAAACCAGTGACTTAATATCGTTCTGAACCTTCAGGTAGATATCTGGAGAGTAGTTCAATCCGGATAGCGTAAAATAAGGGCAATATCGTTCCGTGAAGCCGGCCTGCAGCGAAACTCCGGGATTAAAAGCGTCGTTTGATATGTCGTCTGCTTTCCTCCATGGTATGTGAGGCTGGTTGCACTGAGGAGACTTCACTTCTGATACTAAAATTTGCAAACTTTTCGTCACGGATTCTTACTGTACAATATGTAAAATCAATGAAGCAGAATACAAAAATTCAACTTTAACTTAAAGCAAAGTGAGAAGCATAAAGGTGATCATAAGGAAATTGACAGCTTTAAAGAACTGCATTAAAAACACCCAGAATTTATCAAAAGCCTTCCATCTAATAAAAGAAGTAGTGAGAAAGGATCTGTAGGCGCTATACGGCAAATATTTGAGAAACAAAATTCAGGTTTCGAGTATTATGGTTAAGGTGAAATAATTTTTAACTAAGGATCTGAAAAGTTAATTGAAAAGTTTTAAAAACATTAGATGCGTAATTGTCCTCATATCAGAGAAAGATGGATGGTCGAAACAGCTAACAGCTAACGACCTAAAACAATCTTCATCTATGGAAAGAATGATAACAAGTTCTGCAAGAAGAGTACACACTCGGAGCCAGTAACAGTATTTTTTTCGACAAGCACCATCGGAAGCTTAGAAAATAAATGCAAATTTACCTGACATGTCTTCGATCATGCTGCTGCCGAAAATCCGCTGATATAGGCATATGTTACCGGAAGAGAGATTCGACGACGCCGCTGGGTTTAGACTCGTAAGGCTACATGTACTATTGCCCTTAGACACATTTCTACAGCAGCCGCAAACAGGAGAGTTTGAAGCAATGTTATCGGACCCAAAGAAACACTGACAATCGCAATATATACATCTGTCGCACACTGTACCGAGAGCGGACTTTGTAGACGAAGGCTAAACAAAGTGCTTCAGTGCAAAAAAAATAACCATAACAAAATATATTATGCAAAGAAATAACCATATATATATATACACACAAATTTATTAAATCTTGTATGGGAAGACATTTTAAAAAACTCACATACAATTCAGGTGCCCTTTTGCAGTATATGAATTGCAATGATCTATTAACTGTAGAAACAACAACAGCAAACCGATGTTTGTGTTTATTTTATTTTTACTATTAAAGTTTCATCTAAACAACACCGGCAAGAAATGTTTTTTCGACGACGGTGAACGCTGCTTGTCCGAAACGTC